ATCATGATCGTTCCTTTGTTGCTTACGGGGAACAAAAAGTCTACGCATTAAATTTGCTCTATCTGTCGAACGAGCGGCGCGGCGATAATGTCGGTCATTTCGTATGGAGCATAAAGCATCTGTCTCGACTGTTAACGTCGCAAACAAGCATAAGAAAAAAAATACATATGCGACCGGTAAGCGTAAGAGAGAGAGAGATTATGCTCGTCGCGAGATAAATTTTGTATTAATTATAAATTGTATTTTTTCAGATGTCTACATTATTTTTATTCAGACGAGAAATTGGTCGCGCATAGCGTCAAGTGCGGAAGAGCGAACGACTGCGCCGTTCTTCTTCCGAGCGAGGACGACAAGTTCTCTTTTCACAATCACGACAGAAAGGAGAGACTACGATTCGTCGTGTATGCAGATCTGGAGTGTGTTTTAGAAAAGGGAGATCAACGGTTCAATGGGAGTCTCGACAATAGATTCGCCTATCAACATCACAAGGCGTTTAGCGTAGGATATTATTCGCGTAGCACGTACAACGAAATCGTATCCATGTATAGATCTCGCCGAGGCGACGACTGCGTCTCGTGGTTCGTCGAGGAGCTGCGCGCTCTCGCGTATCGCGTGAAGAAGATTCTGTGCGAGCGTACCGATGTCGGAACTCACGCCGAACGAGCGGAGCGCTTTTCAAAAGGCGACAAATTGTCACGTGTACGGAAGGAGCTTTGAGTCGTACGATATTCGCGTGCGCGATCACTGTCATCTTATCGGACGATACAGAGGACCCGCGCACGCGAACTGCAATTTGAACTATCAGAACGCGTTCATTATTCCCGTTTTTTCGCTCTTCCGCACTTGACGCTATGCGCGACCAATTTCTCGTCTGAATAAAAATAATGTAGATATCTGAAAAAATACAATTTATAATTAATACAAAATTTATCTCGCGACGAGGATAATCTCTCTCTTACGCTTACCGGTCGCATATGTATTTTTTTTCCTTATGCTTGTTTATTTGCAACGTTAACAGTCGAGACAGGTGCTTTATCCATACGAAATGACCGACGTTATCGCCGCGCCGCTCGTTCGACAGATAGAGCAAATTTACGTGCGTAGACTTTTTGTTCCCCGTAAGCGACAAAGGAACGATCATGATATCGTTTCTCCCCGTTTTCTCTCGAATGACAAATACGTTGATAGACAAATCATTAAGGCGTTCGAATCTAGCGATGTTTCGTAGTGTCATAGGAAAGTCGATATCATCGAAATTCAGCACCAACGAATAGTGAGGATACGACGACGGTCTACCCGAGTGTAGATCAACGGGATATAGAGCAGCCATTATCGCCCACGCGAAACACGCGTTGTCGTGTGAACGTACATTAATCATGGCTCTCTTATATCTTATCTTCGGAGGAAGTAACATCCAACATCCATGCATAGGATTACACTTATTTACATTGATCATTAAATTTAATATCCGAAGTAACGCCCAACCGCTATCGCGTTCCTGAAATTCCTCCAGCGACGTCAGAACAACATTCATAACGTCTCCGTCATACTATTCTCATAGATCGGACATACCGAATAGCTGACAATTCCTCGTGCGAATGCTCTTAACAGCGCTCTTATCATTCGCGACAAACTCCCCGTGAAACACGGTGTTGACCTTTAAACACGCATGCATATCGAGATCGACTCGCACTCACTCGAGCACCGTGGCCCTCACGTCCTCGAGAAACCGTCGAGGTTCGATGTACTCGATGTTTACCACAGCACCCGTTCGTACGCGATTCGCGAAAGCCGTCTCGATATCCACCCATTCGAATCCCTTCGAACCGTCATATCCTGCACCCAAGTAACTAAAACGTCGACTCAAAGCGAATCTCGCACCCTCCAATTACGCTACTCGAGAGACCAGAGAATTTATCGTTCCAATAACCGTAGGATCGACTCTATTCTCACATCTATCTCTCAAGACCTCGAGACACTCGATACACTCCTGTTCCCAAATACGATAGGCGCACACCCCTTCAACCCCCGCCGCGCGTTTGAGAAGATCGCGATTCTTTTCCATATCGCAACTTCCCACACTGTGTTACTCCAACCGTCCGTAGGAACGATGAATTTAATGTCTCGAATTCTTCTCTCTCTCTCGCTGTTCTCTCGTAGATCACCGCTCTGTCGCTCAGAGCGAGCAACGTTTCGATCCACAGTTTCTTTCGCGAACTCTCCGTACCGATCTCCCGTCGCAAGTTATACGTGGCCACGTTCCAGCGAACATCTTCTCTCGCCACGATCCACTCCTCATCGTTACCAGGCGCGATAGTCTCGTAATACTCTAAACTATCGTCACTTTCGATAATCAACTCGCAACGATCGTCGTCGAGATCGCGATACGTCACGTTACGATCGAACGCGCGTAAAAGCAAATCATCACTCTCGCTCGAAGACGAACCACTGCTAAGCGCGACTTCTTCCATATACGTTCTTAACAATGAGAAAAAATGCCTCTCACGACTAGATATATACCCTGAGACAGCGTCGAAAACGCGACAACCACGACATTCCGAAATGACAAAACGCGCGGCATCCTACATAATCAGAACGCGCGCCTTCCCGTTGCCGCGAAAACAGGATGCACTAGATCTTTGCGGAAACCGTCTAGACACAGAACGCGCCTAACCGCAACATCCTACAAATAGCTCTTTCCTCTTTTTATGCCTGATAAAATAATACAACAATAGAGTAATAAAATAATACAACAATAGAGTAATAAAATATTCTCTCGTCATTAACACTCCTATGACGATTCCCTCCTCGTGCGATCCCCACCTCTTGTCCCCTCCATCTCTCATACATTTCCAATACCGTTGCCCTTGATATCGCACATTAAATCTCTCATTATTAACACTCGTGCGACGATTTCCTCCTCGCGCGATCCCCACCTCTCGTCTCTCATACGTTTCCGATAATATAACGTCATCCTCGGTATCGCTAATTGAAGACTCCCGGCGCGTCGCCGATCCGCCTCTCGTCCCCCGCGATACGCAAACGAACGAGGAAAAAATTTCGTCTCTCTCGCGGTTAATTTTATTCTCATACATATTCATATATACAATCCATAGGTATATTACGTTTATAGTACATACTTATATGAGCGCACACTTAGTTGCGCTAATTGTTGCCAACGCGCTTTCTTCTTTTTCTCTCCTCCTCGTACGCGGCTGATGAACACCGCTTTTCCTCCAATACTTGCGATGAGCGCAAAAAAACATCTCGTCGTCATCGTTATCGTTGAATACATCGTAATAGCCGCTTTCGTGAAAATTCACCATGTACTCCTGTCATCTGTTAATCTCGATTGACTTCTTCTTTTCGTAGAGTACCTCCAGTAAAAGATTATATGCCATCCCTCGATAGTGATGACATACACACGCCTCTATTATCTTTTTAGGTGAAATCTCACGCTGATGCGGAAATCGACAACAGCGCCTCTTTAATTGATTGGAAATCGGTGTGTATTGTCCTCTCACGACGTACTCCGTCACATTGACCGATGGATACGCCGTCACATTTCGCAATGGAGAAGATGTTAGGTCATCCAGCGAATGACACCAATACATCTCATCGTCGTCGATCATTCGTGTCTCTCATACATTCCCAATACCGTTGCCCTTGATATCGCATATTAAATCTTTCATTATTAACACTCGTGCGACGATTTCCTCCTCGCGCGATCCCCATCTCTCATCTCTCATACGTTCCCGATAATATAACGTCATCCTCGGTATCGCTAATTGAA